CATCATCAATGTTACCTTTATCTTCATTATTGTCGAAATCAGCATCGTAGTCACCGTCATCATCGTAGTCATCATTATCATCGTCATCATCATCATTGTCTCGATCACTCATGTCATTCATTTTGAAGTATATTGCCCCACTTGGACCTCAACTCGACGTCCTTTATGTTTTATTTGTCAACATATGCAGTGTATTATCCACCAGACAGGGCACCACAGAAATTCCTGTCACTCAGACATAATGGAATCAGAGGCAGATGCCGGCCACGCAATCAGTGGACAGATAGAATATCCATAGTCATAAATTCTAGCATCTACGCAATTCATACAAAGGCTGTCATCTAATGCCACTTGAAAGCCTGACGCTGAAAGTCATTACAGGACTAGAGATGAAGAACAAGTAGCAGAAGGAGAGAGTGAAGAAGAAGAAGAAGAAGAAGAAGAAGAAGAAGAAGAAGAAGAAGAAGAAGAAGAAGAAGAAGAAGAAGAAGAAGAAGAAGAAGAAGAAGAAGAAGAAGAAGAAGAAGAAGAAGAAGAAGAAGAAGAAGAAGAAGAAGAAGAAGAAGAAGAAGAAGAAGAAGAAGAAAGAAGAAGAAGAAAAGAAGAAGAAGAAGAAGAAGAAGAAGAAGAAGAAGAAGAAGAAGAAGAAGAAGAAAGAAGAGATGAAGAAGAAGAAGAAGAAAGAAGATGAAGAAAGAAGAAGAAGAAGAGAAGAAGAAGAAGAAGAAGAAGAAGAAGAAGAAGAAGAAGAAAGAAGAAGAAGAAGAAGAAGAAGAAGAAGAAGAAGAAGAAGAAGAAGAGAGAGAGAAGAAGAAGAAGAAGAAGAAGAAGAAGAAGAAAGAAGAGAAGAAGGAAGAAGAAGAAGAAGAAGAAGAGAAGAAGAAGAAGAAGAAGAAGAAGAAGAAGAAGAAGAAAAAGAAGAAGAAAGAAGAAGAAGAAGAAGAAGAAGAAGAAGAAGAAGAAGAAGAAGAAGAAGAAGAAGAAGAAGAAGAAGAAGAAGAAGAAGAAGAAGAAGAAGAAGAAGAAGAAGAAGAAGAAGAAGAAGAAGAAGAAGAAGAAGAAGAAGAAGAAGAAGAAGAAGAAGAAGAAGAAGAAGAAGAAGAAGAAGAAGAAGAAATAAAAATAAATATCGAACACAAACAGTTCCTATTTCGATTTGTTTGTGTAACTGCTGCACAGCTTTCAAACTGTAACAGTTCCTTTTGTCCAGATAGTTACTTTTGATTGGCGATTGTTGTTTGGCCCACACTGTTATAGTTGTACCAGAGTCACACAGTGGAAGAGATCGGATGCTCACCACATAATATTTATAAAGCAGCTGTAAGTATACCTGTCACCCAAAGCAAATCTTCCTTTTCAAGACAGCACACTTTTGTTTGCAGTAGTGATGATGGAGAAAGTATTGTAGAAGCTGCAGTAGCAGCAACAGCAGCAGAGAGGAAGAAGAAGAAGAAGAAGAAGAAGAAGAAGAAGAAGAAGAAGAAGAAGAAGAAGAAGAAGAAGAAGAAGAAGAAGAAGAAGAAGAAGAAGAAGAAGAAGAAGAAGAAGAAGAAGAAAAAGAAGAAACTAAGAAAAGAAGAAGAAGAAGAAGAAGAAGAAGAAGAAGAAGAAGAAGAAGAAGAAGAAGAAGAAGAAGAAGAAGAAGAAGAAGAAGAAGAAGAAAGAAGAAGAGGAGGAGGAGAAGAAGAAGAAAAAGAAGAAGAAGAAGAAGAAGAAGAAGAAGAAGAAGAAGAAGAAGAAGAAGAAGAAGAAGAAGAAGAAGAAGAAGAAGGAGTATAGGGTACTGAATGAAAAAGATGAAGAGGGCAGGAGAAAACAAGTTAAGAACTAGGAAAAGAAATCAAAAGAAAGATATTACAAGAGAATGAGAAAGAAAAAAAGAAATATCTTAAATGACAAGCAGTGATTTATTTTAATGAAGATATGCTTCTCTAACAATGAAGCTAGTTGAGCGTAACCAATTACATATTTAAAAAAAAAAATCAAACAAACAATTAAGCTGATTAAGACTGAGATCTCAGATAAAATAAAATAAATGATCTTAAATCAGCGGAAAGATATACGAAAAACCAGACATCAATGAGAAATGCCAACTTTACGTAACTTTGACAGTTACAAATACAAAAAGCAACGCGATTGCACTTGGTTCGTTGGTCCTTCCTGCTCTCAACTTGATCATTGAGATAGTAGTATCTGCAGTAAGTGAAGTGCTGTGTACACAAACACTGTAATGCTACCAGATACGTGCGGAAGTTTTTGTTCGTTTTCCCGCCCTTACCAAGTACCACTTGAACATTTGCACACATTAAGTCCTAGCCGGAAGCGTATTTCAGTCAAACAAAACACTTCCTCAGATGCTGTTACAGTGGTTAATGTAGCACTATGTAAACAAAGGCACTGGCGTCCTTGTTAATGGGCAGGAGTCTACAGTTAGCTCTAGTGCAGGGTTACTCAACTAAGTTCACTCAGGGGCCATAATGTTGAAAATGTTGATCGTCATGGAATAGAGTCTCGAACCCTTGTATAGAAAGATAATTAATATAGAGCAATCGGCAATGATCCGCGGGCCATTTGCGAGGCATCCAAGAAACGCATTCGGCACTGGGACAGTTGAATAGATCTGATTTGAGTGCTAACCTGCAAGAATCAGCAGGCTTAGGTCCCCTGAAGTCCTACCCCCCTCCCCTCCGTATTTTATATATATATATATATATATATATATATATATATATTAATATATATATATATATATATATATATAGTATAAGTACGTTACGTACGTACGTATGTATATATTATGTACACGCGCCTTGGGTGTCCTGAGGGTGGGGGCAAAGTGGTAAAAAATACGTTTTTAAATTTAAAAGACATTATATATGTATGTTTTGTGTGTGTGTGTGTGTGTGTTTGTGTGTGTGGGGGGGGGGGGGGGTGCGGTTAGGTCAAAAAATTGTTCGCTGTCTCTATCTTCCCTTTCCTTTCTGGGAAAACTGGTAAGATGGAGATGGGAAAGGGGAAGAAGGGGGAGGGAGGGACCCTGAGTGGCTCCGCTTCTCAGTTTTCTTGGTATCGGATCCGCTGGTCTAATGGTCATTATCATGCTAGTCTCTCCTTACCCTCACACCCCCTCCCCCTCCCTATCCCTGGTGCGGCTTCCGATTCTAAATTGTACCGTAGCGTCCGTTCATTCATTCATTCATTCATTCATTCATTCATTCATTCATTCATTCATTCATTCATTCATTCATTCATTCATTCATTCATTAGTTGAATATCACAACAAATTTACTATGTTCTTTTTCTTCTTCTTCTTTTTCTTCTTCTTCTTCATCGTTTTCTGTGTAAATGGTCACATGGCATATATAGACCATGTTTTGGGTACTGTACTTTAACCGAAAAAATGAGTCTCATGCTTCAACGCAATTGAAAATTTATATTGCGCCCTTTCCCTTTTTAATGCCCCAACCATCTGCATTGTGTAAAAATAAAAAAATAAACGACCCTTTTCCATGCCTGTAGGCATATAGGGCATATAAAGCTAGACCTATATTTGTATAGACCAATCGGCACAAGATGGGTGATGTGGTCAGCATTACGCCGGCTGCCTTTACTTTCATAGACAACACCCGGTACCCACTAAAGGCTAGGTCGACCTGGGAGTCAAGGTCATTGTTAAAAAAAAGTCAGGGAGCGAACCCTCGACCTTCCGATTCGCATGCCAGCGTCTAGTGGCTACGCCATGGCGATTCTCACCTACATTGTGTGTTTAGTGGTTAATCCGACTTTGTTCGGATTGTCTGCCTCCCGCCCTACTGAAGTTTGGCCCTAATCTAGAACTTACGTTGTGCGCACACGTCTGTTTTACAGATGTGATTTATTTGTATGCATACTCTTAGGTCATAGCCTCTCAGACAGACGCACTCCAGCTTTGAGAAAGAAAAAATGGCCTTAATTACTGGCCTCCTACGACCAGCTTGCTAGGAGACCAATGGGTAAATTCTTTGTTCTCCAAAAATATAATCATGGAACTCACAAGGCGACATTTGGGATTCAGTATGTGGATGTATGTAATTAATGTGATCCAACTGTGTACGAGGAAGATCGTAATCTAAGATATGTCTATGTGCTTAATTGTTGGGTATTACTAATTAAAAGTAGGCTATTTCGTTTATTTACTCAACAAATTAATGAACACACAGTCAGCAGAGTTGTCTATAACAGTTTAATAACAGTGGGCATTATTATTTCATTACTACTACTGCTGCTATTACTACCACCATCACAACACCACTACGACTACTACACCACTATTTCTTTTAAAAAAAAAAAAAAACCAACTATGGTGCAAGAAACGTTTTTCGCCTCAGAAAGAGAGTGACTTCCCTTCCCATTCATGCCTTGTCGTATCGCAGGACCTTTCCTATGTTTCGGAAGTGTCATGTAATCCTTTTTGACAACGCAATAACCACTCTCTTGTCTCGTCTTCTCACTACTCACTTGTGTGATAATTGTCACGTTTTTCTGCCGACGCGACGCTTCGTGAGTATGGAAACTGCGATGTTTTTCTATTCCTACGTTTCTTGTTAGTGCGTACTCTGGCTCTGGGGGAAATCCCAGTCAACAAAATGCAAAAACATCAAAGTTTCGATATCAAAATTTCAGCGCCTTCGGCGATTTCCCATGCAGCGCTTCCCACCTGCAGTTCTTCTTATTATACAAAGGTGCCTGCGGCGCCTCAAGAGAACTCACGACAACACAACCTCCTACTAAGAGTATATACACCGAATCAAACTATATTATAACACCTTGTACCATAGGAGAGGCCCTGCGACACGAGTAATGAATGGGAAGGGAAGTCACTCTTTTTCTGCAGCGAAAAACGTTACCTTAACGACAACTACTACACACTACAACTATCAATAAATTGGCGTATTTATTCGTATCTTAAATGAATTTGAAATAACCCCAGGTCAAAGGTGAGGTCACAAATCAGACACAGGTCAACAAGTTTGGAACAAGGTGATGACTGAGCCAGATTCCAAGCTCTGACCTTTACTACAAAACTGGAATCTGAAAGTAAACAACAGTTAACAGTAAAGATCGCTTATGATTTTAGGGGCACAGGTAAGGATAAAACAGTACATCGCAAGAACAGATGTGAATATGTCATAAGGCAGACTAATGGTATCACAGATCACTTTAAATATCCGCGAAGATAGACTGCTAATTGTAATTACTATAATTCTTGAAAGTATATTTAAAATATATTGAATGTGACGAAATGTACGCCTATAATTATACACAATTAATACATGAGCTATGCAATATTGAATAACCAAAAATAATAAGTTTATTAGAAATATCCATTATTAAAACCGAAAAAAACTACTATATATATTTCCCAATTAAAACCCGAATGGGTTGAACAGGACATTGTTTAAATTACTACTACCACTAGAGGCACGATATCAGGCTTTTTGGCATTTTTTTTTTTTTTTTTTTTTTTGGCTGGCGAGTTACAAGGAGTGAGGGTAAGTGCAGTTACTTATCTCTTTTCTTTTAAAGCCAATTAAAAAAATATATATTCATTTCCCAAGGGCGGTTCAGACAAATTAAATGCTACCCCCTCCCCTTACCCACTGCCCCAGTTTTTAGGGAGTGAATCCCTTCCCCCTCAACCCCATCATGAAATCATGGCATAGAAAGTCATCGGTGTCAGAACTAATTGAAAGTATACAAGACATGGTTTTCCATAGACATGACGACCAACGTCACAAAGCACAAACCTTGAGAAGAAGAAACGCTATAAAGCCATGATGAAAAATTTGATTTGATGATGTGGTCATGTATAAATTAAGTGATACTGTATTCTCCAAAATAAGATGTCCAAGGAAGTATATCAGTAAAATATTCCTCATTTCGTATGTTGACCACCTCCAAAAGTTGACCAGTTCGCTAGTCACTTGGGTGGTCACCTTCTAGAGGTTCTGATTATATATATATATATATATATATTATATATATATAATATATATATATATATATATATATATATATATATATATTATAGTATATATATATACTGGCTTACACCGGCTTCTGCATGCACGGCCTTAATACTGACAACATGGAACGATTGGTTTTGTTGAAAGCTAATGCAGCTTTTATGCATTAACTAAGCTGTCAGTGACAAATATCCAAGTTTAGTTACTTGTTATAATTCTTAGAATTTACTCATTCCTAGTTATTAGTTAGCACAGACTGACTGAAGGATGCAAAACATAAAATGTTTTTAAATGTTTACTATTCTGTACGAATACTAACTAGACATGGAAAGAATACAAACTTCGCCCACATCCAAGTCGATAATATGAAAATCAAACGAACGGAAACACATAAGTACTTGGGTGCAAACTTCAACTGCTCCAACATGATGAGAGAAGAAATACAATCTAGAAATAAAGTATACTATGCCCTTCAACATCTGCTAAAGTCAAACTGCTGTCTCGCAACACCACGATCAAAAAATATAAAACGTTGATAAGACCAGTCGTTTTATATGGCTCTGAAACTTGAAGCAGAAATAAAAGAGATGAGGTCTTATCGCAGGTTTTCGAAAACAGTCTTGCGACAAATCTTTGGACCTATCAAAGATGCTAACAGCGGGGAATGGAGAGTGAGAAGCAACAACGTAACACATAATCTGTTTAAATCACCATTGATCACTGGCATCATGAGAGCTAACAGACTAAAATAGTTGGGGCATTTTGAAAGATTGTCAGATGATAGAGAAGTAAAACTGTATACACCTGAGAGAGAAATGGGCGTAGACCACGAGGCAGACAAAAAAGAAGTTCGAGAGATAATGTCCAGCCAGACCTGCAAACAACTGGTGTCACAAATTGTGAAGAGAAAGCCAGCCAGAGAGATGAATGGAGACGAGTGATATCTGCAGCAGTAAACCTCAAGGGCTCAGAATGCTAAAGAAGATGACTATTCTGTGCTACTTTATGTGAAGTAAAAGTTCAGCACACATTTGATATTATGCATGTTTTTTTTTCTTTTTAGATTTATGTTATACACTATAGACTATTCGTATTCGGCCGAATAGTTGGTCCCGTTATTCGTATTCGGCCGAATAGTGAAAATCACTATTCGGTACAGCCCTAGTTTTCATGTATCGTATCAATAACAGATGCTACCGTAACAACATCAAACCTCTACCTGAGCCCAGACTCATGGGCGTAGACAGTGATGCGTTCAATGGAGACACTGGGTGAGCTGAAGAGTGTCCCCAGGGACAACGATTTCTGCCACTTGAAAGAGACAGCGATGACATTACCAACATCCCGTGACAGGCCCACACGGAAGCTTGATGTCTGCCCAGGTGCAAATGTCCTAGCCTCCCCTCTGTGAAAATAATGAGTTGGGTTATCTACACGCCCAATGTGCTCAGATTTCCATTTAACATATACACCAGCATCTTGCCTTTAATATTGC